TTGAACGACAGGACCCCATGGTGAGAGAAACACAAACAGCGGAGACAGTAGAGTCTAAAGTCTTTACACAACCCGTCACTCTGTCAGAATTTCCCTCCATTTAGTTTCTGACATTCTCTTTCTGCTCTACTGCCCCACATATTTTCTTCTTTTAACCCTTTATCCCTTTCTTCTACCTCCAGTTCTTTTGGTGACCTCAACGGATTAAACTACCTCTGCAGCACGCATGCGCCCAAATGTTTGCCCACCACATCTGAGTTTAGGGTATCATGATAAAGGTGTAAAATGGGAATTTAACCCCACATGGATGCATGTATATAAGCATTAGATCATTTCAAACTGGCTGCCCTCCTGAACTAGGTTATAAAACAAAGGTGTTGTTGTGGTATAGGAAAAGCTCTTAAGCATCTTTTCGTAATAATTAAGTATGCAAAGACCTGCTTGTCACTTCATCATATTCACACTATTGTTGCCTTTGAGCTTACAACTGACCTCATGCTTGAATATATGTTTTACAGGTTACACAGAATATATTAACAACCCAAACTCCAGTCAAATAGTAGTTCTTAACATTGTTGGACATTTTTTAAATACCTGTCTAAATAAGCTGGATTCAGCAGTGGATTAAAAGGAATTCAGTGCTTAGCAACGAGTTTAGGAAAACTATTCAGCCTCTCTCTCTTCTCAGTCTGAATGCTGCATAACCCTGAGGAGTGAAAAAAAACAACCCAAAAACGCTCCACCAGCTTTTATCGGTAATACGTTTAAGATGTCAGCACTAGTTCATAAATGTCATTTGCTGTAGCAAAGAAAAGTGACTACTGGTCAGTTGCATACTAAGAAGAGTCTAATAAAACTGAAGTAAATAAAAACAAGTTCTCTGCCTAAAAGTGATTTCTCCAAAATGCATGATTTTGTGGTGTAAACCTATTAGGGATCAATAAAGTATTCTGATTCTGATTCTGATTAAACGACCAATATAACTTTGCTTTAGATGCACTATGCTATACTGTAGAGTAAAACAAGGCCTTCTTTAAATCTCTCTTAAAATTAAATATATCGAATGATATTGGATGAGCTTTACTAACGTAAAAGTGATTCTATACAACAAGAACAAAAAAGAAAATTAGATGATGTAAGTAGGAGGATAAGAAATAATTTATCCCAAAAGCTTGAAATTACTTTAACGTCAATAACTAATAACTCAATAAAACAAATGCAATATCACAGAATAAAACAGGGCAGACAGGGGTCAATTATAATAAATTAAATAGCAATCAATATCAATTTTATTGATATAGCAACAAATTACAATAGTAGTCGCCTCAAGTTGCTTTATTTTGAAAAGGTAAAGACCCTACAATAATAGGACAGAATTAAAAGTTAAATAGGTATAGTAGGTATGAGGCGATAAAGATTTTCTGTTGTTGTGGCACTGGAGCTGAAACTGATGTTAGATTAAGTGTTTAGTGTGCAGAAGGTCTACATTATCCATTAATTATCCATAGCCATTCACCACAGCCACGGCCATTTGATGACCTCTGTGTCAGGCAGTGTGTTGATTCATGCAGCATCAGCAATGACAAGTTCCCCCAGTGAGTTAACATGGATGTTTTCCAACAGCTAGTAATTCAATATTCAGACCTCAGAAACACTAATTCTTAGTAACATCTCTGTGATTACACTGAATTTCAGTGGCAACTAGAGCAATCACTCCACATTTATTTTTACCACTCAGAATAATGTTCTATGTCACCCTAAAAATCCCGAAGCCAGGTACAGTCACACTCTGGTCTGGCAATTTGTGAGTGTGGCAACATGAAGCACAGTCAGCTGCACGCACTCTGCTCCTTCTTCTCACCGTGCAATTACTGACTATGTTATAAAATAACAAAAATGCCGGACTGAGTGTTTTGACATTTCTTGTTTTAACTTTACATTTAATAAAAAAAAGAATCATTTTGATATTAAAAACTGCTGATAGACGTGAATGACCTCTGACCTAAATTCCATCAAAATTAAATGCAAAACTAATAACTTGAAGGGTAACTCTCTGATCAAGCATCAGAGAGACATCTGAGCTCTGACGGCCTCAGGCACAGCAGTTGTATTATGAGGCATAGTTATTTATTTATATATATAACAAAAGATCTGTTTCATGGCTAGCTCAGTTTTCTTTAGCTGCAACCAAACATCCTCTCTGTCATGCCACCTTTCTTTACATCCACAGCAGATATACTATATACAAATCAACATAAAGTCTGTAGAGATAATATAGTTTTAACCCACTTTGCAGTGTCATAGTTTCCATGTCTGAAAGTAAGGAGGATGTGCTTGGGTAAACGAGAAGACATCCATGGGCCGTCCAATCTGTTATGACCACGCAGACTTGTCAATGCAGAAATGCACTAAAATTCCCCAACAATTTACGTCTCCTCCGAGTGTGCATAAAAACAGTTATGAAAACAACTATTCATCTGTGGTGTCCACAGCTGTCCCCCTGTATGTCCACAAGCAAATATAATCCCAGCCTTGACTGCTTCAGTAAGGGGATCTGGTGGGTCTGTTATGGGATGGTTCCACTTGTCCCCTCAATGTGAAGGTTCGCTGGAAAGCAAAATGTTTTTCTAACTGATCACTTTCATTTAATAATGAAACATTTCTATAATGGTGGAAGTAGTCTCTTGCAGATTATCAATGCCCCCTACATAGAGACAGAGTGTCAAAAAAGCCTTAATATGTAAAGCCAGAATTTGAACTGCCCTTCATAGTCACTACTGCTCAACCCAGTTAAAAACCTAAGGATGGTCGGGTAGTGACTTCATCACTGGTGCAATGAAGCAGCTCGGGCAGCAAATGGTAACCCAACACCTTACTAAGATTGCAGATGTTGTTTTTTCCTGTAATTTATAACGTGTCTGTAATTTTAGGGAGACTTTTTCAGGAAATAAATCTCCACTTTTAAGGAAAACCCCAGATTAAGTTAGAGCCATGTTATCAGTTTCCATCTCTTAGTGATGATACTCAATCCCTGTGATGTCATATGTCTGAACTGTGTCTAACATGCACAGACCTCAAGTACCACATCCTCTGGGAGCCCTATCATGCTGCGGCAGATGGACAGTATAGATTGGATTCCTAAGTGACAATGCAGACACAAAAGCATGGAAACATGTGAGCGCATGCAACAACACTCCCAATGAAATATTTTCATTTGTTACCCAAGCACCCTTTTCCCATTTTAAAATTCATCTCCTTACTCTTAAAAAAACCCCTCCTTATATTCTGACTTTCCCATCAAGTTTGATCATGTTTAATTGACTATTGTGGCAGATGGGATGGCCGACGGTCTGTGGGACTCAATGTCATCATTGTGGAACTGAGCGAGAGATTAGCAGTTAGTTAGCACTAGTGAGAGATGACAGCTGGCACGGTTAACCTCCCCTCTTTCTGCCTCTCTCTCTCCCCCTCTCTCACACACACTCAAACAGGAAATGCTGGAGTTGAATCAGCCCTTAGCCAGGCTCAGCAATTATACACATGAAACATACTGATCAGTACTTAGAACTTGTCAATGAAGCGCTAAATAAATGTGTCCTGGATTTATCATGAACACATTCTGGGAAGATCCTTTTACGGCTTTGCTTTTAACTTAAAAAGGAAGGAAAAGGTTATATTTTCAGCGTCGATCAAGTCTCCAGACTCTCCGAATGTACAACAGAGGACCATTTCAAATACAAAAATGTCTCTGAAATCCAGCTCTGTGACTCAGAGAAGCTTGACTGACAACAGACAGGATCATAACATGACAGTTCACTGCTTGTCTGCTTTGCAAGAAAGCCAAGACACGAAAGCTTTGCCACTGAGGCAGAGAAAACATTCATCATGTGATTTGACCCGAAAAAATGACTACAACAGCTGCTTAGAATGGCTCCAGTTTCATTAAGGCATCTGAAGTGCTTCACGCAGCTTTGGCAGCAGTTGTTTATTTTACATTTTGTTACAAGAAAAAAAAAATCCCAAATGGACACACACCTGATGATGCTTCTTAATGAATCACTTCTACTTGTCCAGTTATTAAATAATTTCTGAACTCTTACAAAAGCCTGAAACCAGAACTAGTTCTGGTCGTCTAATCTTTGTTAAAATGTACTGATACTATGCAGGAAGGAAAATGCCAAATTAGGCAGATACTTGAGCCTTAAAACCTCTTCAAGTGCCAAAAAAGACCCCCAGTTTTCTCTTTGGTCTTTGCAGTTTGTTTGCCAGAAGGATTACACAAAAGCTACAAAGTTACATTTCACAAAACTACTTGGAGTGGTGAAGCATAGGCAAAAGAAAGAGAAACCCAATAAATTTGGTGTAAAGCTGGAAAATGGTAAACTGGCCCAGGGATTCTCTCTTTAAGCATCCTTTTAGTATAAATATAATTATGCAGACAAAGAACATTCATGTGTTTACCCCACTGTTTTGCTGCTGGTGAACAGCTGCTTGAGAGCAGAAAGTTCAACTAATAATGCTATAACACAAATGGCAGGGTAATTTAATCATCCCAGTAAGGGTTTTCTTGGAAAAGAGAAAAGCTGTAGTGGCTGTAAGGTATGTGGGCACTCAAGAATCTGCAGAAATTGTGTTTATTACTTCAAATTTTAAGAATTTCATAGAGTCTGTAAAATGACTTAATGTGCCAACACGTTATAGCTTTCAAATAAGGATGCCAGCATTGGAACAATAGGAACATTTGAGGAGTGGAAATGCAACACAAAATTCACCATCAAGTTCTGGTACTCCAGTTTTATATATCACGATACTAGACTAACCAAAGCACACAATCAAAAATTGTAATCACTACCAAATAAAGTACAAATGCAATTTCAAGATGGCTCACAAACTGAGCACTAACACACATGCCCATAAACACCAGCATATGCATATATATCCCTGTGAGCACACACGTTTGTATTATGCAGCCAGTGTCCAACGAGATATTATTAAATTACCTCCAGGGATCCCACCAGGACTACCATGCCTGGTCACAGCAGACCAGAGAAGGGAAGCTAACAGGGCTCATGTTGCTACTCAACCATCTTCAGAAAGCTGTCTCTTCCATGACTGCAGGGAGACTGAGGGTGTCAGTTACTTGGCTCCTTCATCTGGGTCAAATCAAGTTCAACAACAGACGCTTCTCACAATCTTTAACACAGCATGTTTTGACATGATGCTTGGGAGTTGACTTGATATAAACAGTTGCATGCTCCTTAATGTGCTGAATGAATCCTATGACTGTAGGAGTATTAGAATCCATTCAAAACACATTTCTGTCAATCCAGAATAAAGCTGTTTTTCCTAATCCCCTTATTCTTTTAAAGAGAAATAACAAGCGTATGACAGCAGCGAGTCTGACGGTCTCATGCACAACATATCCTGACATAAAATACACCAGAAATCCCTTTCTTTGATCTAATATTAAGAGGGCAAAACAGAGAATTTGGGCTTGTGCTTTTGCCTGACATTCATCTTGTTTTGACATGGGAAAATATTAACTAAACATGAACTAAAAATAAAAATCCCCAAAGATTAAACATGCAAAAAGCACAGCCAGCATAGGCCTTCTTCAAATTCATCTGCTTTTCAACAGGGGTAATTTAATACGCCAACTATGAACAGCTGGAGGCAGATTTAATTCAACTGATTGTATGCATTACTGTTCCATGTTTTTAAACCACAGACCACCAGTTGCAAGGCAGCCAAAACATGGGTAAAAGTATGCCAAACAGCACGTGTAATGGGATTTCATTCTACAGCCCTGGAAATTTGTAAAAACCCCAAACCGACCAAAGGACTGCAGAGTATAACGACTTGGCCTGAATTTTCCCCTAAAAGAGACTTGAACATGTCTATAAGGATTTTACCTTTTTGTTTGCAGTAAATTATCCTTTTCATCATTCCTCTTTTTAACAGGGAATTACTAAGCAGCACTAAAGTAATTTAATATACCCAAACAAGTCCACATCCCAAGTACAGTGGTATATGTTGCCTGTGGTACTAAAAAAAAAATAGTTGCTACAAGCAAGTAATTGTGTAGTCACCAAGAAACACCTTTCTTGCTCTTCGGGAGTAACAAAAGAGTAGGAAAGGGAGGTAACACGATACAGATGGATAGTGTGAGTCTACTATTGCTCTCAGACAGTGTGTAACACAGTACTCTTTGCCACTCTATTGCTTAAAACCGATGCCCTTAAACAAAGAAGTATTTCTTTGGAAATAAATTCCATAACCACCATATTGAAATATATTTTATTGCTGCTAATTATGCCTGTATGATGTAAGGAAAACTTTGTAATGGTGACATGATTCTCATTATATATAGTGTGCATATTAGCTGACCAGTTTGTATGTCTAACTGATCCCAAACATTGAAAAGCCTATAACAAGTGAATTAAAAAAATTAATTAAAAAAATAAATAAATAATTTTATATATATATATATATATATATGAAAAAAAATGTGAATGCATGGAGCGTGTGAATGAAAATTACTGCTCTTATTCACTGCATTTTAGACTGCATTTTGCAAGGTGTTTATTGAGAATGTTTATACTGACAGGACAATGAAAATAAGCTGTATTGGTTAGCAGTACAGCGGATCAGATAGCACCTTTTGTCTCTCAGCTACTACTCAGAGTGCCTGTGTGACAATGCAATATGCATTCATCATCTGTCTCTACGTGGAACGGCTTTCAGTACTGTCCAGAGTACCTGTGTGTTACTGTAGCTGGATGATAAAGGAAATAGGTAAATTGCACAACTGTTTTTGGTTCACAATTTGGGTAGAGTTGTGTTTGCAAATAATGCACAATTTTCCTTTATACTTTGATTAAGGAAATAAAAATCATTAAATTGCCTGGGAACACCTCGGGGTTCCCCAAGAGGAGCTGGAAACATTGATTGTGACAGGAACATCTGCACAGATCATTTAGCCTGCAGCCATCTGACTCCAGATAAACAGTGAAACATGGAAGATAGATGGATGAATAAATAAACTGCCCAAGTTGGTTTGTTTCACTGACCATACAAAAATACCTTGACAATGATGCTCATTATACTGTGTGTGAAATCCTTTTGTCCTGAGCCTGACATCACACCACAGTGTGAAACTACCAGCTGTTGCTTTGTAGCCATTTAGCATTTTACACCTTGTCAACAAGACCTGTGCTACATGTTAGGACAATCTATACCAAAAAAAAAAGAACCCCCCCCCCCCCCCCCCAAAAAAAACAAACAAAAAACAAAAAAAAAATCATGTAATCTCAAATCTCTAATTTACTGCATCAGATAACCAATTTCCCTGTGTATTGTGACACAAATGAAGGACTCTCACACACAGACACACACATATATAAGCATACCTCCATTGCTAGTGCAGCAGTCTGCTGGTCATAGTGGTTCAGAAGATTGGGCATGAATGTTGTGTTGTAAGGCAGATCCTGGCACATTCTCAGTCTGATGGGCTCACAGGTAAACTCACTGTGGCTCTCGATGGACTCCACATGAATGGCATAGGCAGGTGTAACCAGGGAGAAGACCAGCAGGAAGACAGGCATGAAGAAATAATGGATTGGAAACCTTAGTATGCAATCAGTCGTTGCAGTTTTTGGAAAGGTGTTTCTTACATATCCTCTTCCAAGAGGTGTTTGCATCTTAAATGTAGACATTTCTCCACAGCATCTCAGAGCAATGATATTATAATGCAGTAAACCATTACACAGGCAATCTGTGAAGGAATTAGGTCCATTTTTTGTCCCAGTAGTGGTGCTAAAGCAATAGATCCACATTAGAGAACGAAAAATCCACAAAATGGGTACGCTCCTGTATGGTGCTGCTCTTTCTCACAGTCTTCACATTTGCCGGCAACTGTTGTATGTGCTCTTCTGGATCTGAACTGTCACTTAAAAATCATTATATGATTTTCCTCCACCTCCTGATGGTTCCATTGTCAAAAACAAATCCCACCTCCAAACGGAGAGTATGTCCCACTCTCAGCCTTCTGCTGGAGGTCTCTTTTATTCTTCTTTCGCCCTTGAAAATGTTCAGCTTCTTAATTCATTTCCAGACACATTTCAAAGAACAAACCAACCCTTTCTATGACAAATAACATGGAATTGTTTTGTTGTTGTTTTTTTAATTCATTAGCCAGAGAAAATTTTGTTATTTCAAAAATAAATTGCCACACTGGTTTAGATCCATCAAGCAGGTCCTGCAGAATAAAAACACAAAGATTTTAATTAAAATCTGGTATTGTCCCTCACCAGCCACACCCTACTCTATACAAGCGTCGAGGTTTAAATATCTCATAAAATCCACTAATATGTGCAGGATTGTTGTGTTTTCCTGACACAATGAGTGATAGTATAATTTAGAGATAGTGTCTTGGCTTGTCTCTGTGTTTTTAGTGCTTTTCGTCTATGAGTGTTCTGTCAGTGTGTTTACGCTGCAGACAACTGAAAACACGTTCAAAGCAAACCTCGGTAGTTACTCTCGTTCAAAGCCGCTAATGCGAACGTTACACCTGCAGAACATCTGACACTCCCCCCGCCCCCACTGCAGTGTTTGTGAGAGGTTGGCCGGGCAACAGTAACGCACACCTGCGATGTTTCACACGCGCACACAGTAAACTTCAGACACGCATCATTCAAATAAAGCAGAACCCAGCATCGCGCCTTTTAATTCGCACGTGCGTGAATTGCTCCCAGTCGGTCGTTAGGCACGAGCTAACTTGCTTCAACGCTCATAGCTAGCTAGCGTTATCGCTATTAAATTGGTAACTACTTCAAGCGAACACCTGTGTAACCGTGGGGCACTGCCCTTAACGTTAGCTTCCTTCTCCTCCACGCCGGGTGGAAAAGCTGGCTGTTTTTAAGGGGGGAACAAATCTTTAAAGGTGGGCTTCAGTGCGGCATCTTCGCCGCGTTAAGGCAAAGCGCTCACACGGTGGTGACACGCCAGGATCACAGCTTATCAATCCGTTTGTCACCGCAGTGTCTTCAGCCCAGCAGCAGCAGTAGGGCGCTTCCTCTAATTAACGCATTTTCCTTGAAGTCTGCCTGCCTTGCTCGTGAACACTCAATTATGAGTCGGCAGCACAGTTACGGTCTAACATCACAGTAATAAATGATTTACCTTGTGTGTAAAACACCGAGCGGTCCTCTGCTCCACCGGCTCCGTTCACTGCAGCAGCTCGTTTGTTTCCCTGTTTGCAGCTGGTTTGACTGCGGCGCGCAGTCGACATGTCGGGACCGCGGATTCGACGTGACCGCGCAAAGACTCTGCTGACTAAATTGGCCCCACTGGAGGCTGTGCGTGTGGGCTTTCTGCAGATGTAGAACTAAATGGTACAAAACACCTCATGAAGACAGTATGCTAAGTTTAGAAACAAAATGCATTGAAATTTAAAAAAAAATCTGAATTGTAATGAGTTTTTTTTTAAACTGTTGTATTCGCCACAATTCAAACATGAAGCTAACAAACAACAAAGATTATTACTCTTCGTATTAATCTCGTGGTTTCATATAAGCCTATGTGTCCGGTGTGACACACGCAGATTTGTTTTGATTGTATCAGTCAACACAGTGTCAATATTTATCCCCGATAGCCTCAGGATTAGTGAGCTATGATTCCCTTCCACACAATTGAACATGCCAGTAGATTAACCGTTTCATGGTTGATCTGATCTGATCCCCTCTGTCGTTGAGTCAGTGTGTGCAGCTTAGACTGCTGGCCCACATTCTGGCTTTCAGCTCCTAATATAACACTACTTAACATATAACCAGAGTACTGTAAATGCACAAAGACAGTCCAAGCACACAGCTTTAAGTCCACATTATGTTTAATTGATACAGAATAAAGTATGTGTGTGAAATGCATGGGCTTACAAAAATTCTGGACACTACTTAAAATGATTACTGCTTACTTCAAATGTATGACCACCAATAAAAAGTTTACTTTTTAAAAAAAAAGCATACTCAATTTAATCTCACTACAGTTTTAGTTTAAAATCTCTTTGAAACATGTTTTCTCAGAATTTAAGCAAAAAGCTGACAAATAATAATGTAATTAGAAAAAGAATATATAAAAACACTTTATAATGCATATTAAATACAGTACAACCACACCAATGGCATGTTCAGCAAGCAAATAGGGTTCTCCATCCCAAGATGCTCATTTCAGTTACCTTTACAATTATCTTTCAATACAACAAATTTCCAATTTACATAACATCTTCATCATAGGTTTCCAATTTGCATAAACAGCAAGACACCTGCTTTTCTGTGGTCCGCTGAAGGCATCTTAAATGCAGCACAGTGGATTAATTAATCTGTACAAACAGTAAAACACTAAATATATTGCGAAAAGCTATACGTCTCTGAAATAAGCATACATGCTAAAACATACTTGAGTTAATCTAAAAACATTGTTGCTGGTTTTTCCTTCATGAACAAAGGTTTTATCGTATTGGCACACTTAAAACCCAAACAGTCAAGTAGGGGTACAGGACTGAAATCATTCTTTATATCTTACTTTGTACCTGTATATATTGTCTCTTACATTGGCATGAACGCTGAATCCCATCAGTCAATAGGGGTTTTTTTTGTGATGTGTTCACTAAATTAACATTAATTAGGCACACAAAGTGGAGCTGTGAGCAGCCAACTGTAGTAAACTCATTCCATTCCTGCACTACATTACTGGAGTAACACTACCCTAAATGACTGTAGAAGAAATAGTTCAGTCTGTGCAGAGATGCAGTCATGCTTTTTGGGATTTAGCCTTCTTAGATGTGCTTGCTACTTGTTGTTTAGTTACAGTTCGGAATTCGCACGTTCTCCAATCAGGTGTCGGCTGTGAGGAGAGCACTGGGCCTCTTCCTCCAACTAGAACAGAGAATGACACAAAAGACGAGGCATGATGAGACGAGTATGAGCGGTTTTGGTTTTTGCAATATGACAGAGTGAGCGCGGATGTCTACAGGTAGCCTTTATTTAAAGGATGGCTGAGTGAGAAGGAGTAACAATGAATAACTTCTGTGTCAGACTTAGACCAAGTATGTGTGTGTATGTTTGAGTCACACAACAAAGTTATACCCCTCAAGCATATTCATCTGGCCCACACAAAGATACACACCTGCTCTTTGATGTAGTTGTTCTTGCAGGGTGGCAGCCCCCTGAGAGCCAGTCCCACCATGAAGCACCACACTGACAGTCCCACTTCAACTGCCGAAAACACTGCACAGGGGATCCACAGAGCCAGGGTGGTGTCCTGAGAGATGGGAGGTGGTGGAAAGGAGAAAATGTGAGATAAATGTTGATCCTTTCTCATGTCATGCTTTAAAAAATAAAATAAAATCATGTTTTACACTGAGGGAAGGGGACTTCAAACTCACATAGATCCTTGTAGTATCAAATGGACATCGGACACCAATAGGTGACCGAGCATTGATGGGCACCTGTGTGTCACTGCAACCGACCATCAAACCCTTCCCATCGTGGGCAATTGTGACACCAATGGCAAAGAGAAGTCCGACACAACATGCTGCTGAGAGCAAAGCATTCAGGATTGATGCAGTCAGGAGGCCTATTTGCTGAAAATAGATAGTACAAAGAAATTACATATATGAGGGGATGTGCAAAGTGTCAGTGACTGAAGTGATCATATTGGTAGATGAAGTCAAATTAAATTCTTACCACTTTGAGCACATTAAGGTTCCTTGACACCACAATGGCAATAATCCCAGTTGCAATACTCTGTAACATTCAAATCATGAGATAAGATGAGATCAGTCTTTAAGCTTTGCACAGTACAGGGTTTATTAAGTTACCATCAATTAAATGAATGCATTAAATCCTGTAGAAGAAGAACTTAAAATTTAAAACAAACAGGCTCTTTAACAGAAGTTAGGCCCATTATTGAAAAGTAAAAAATATCTGGTAACTTCTACTTCCTGTCTTACTTGTACACTCTTAAAATATGAAAGAAAACAAAGTTAATATCTTCTTATCCCCAACAAGTTTATGTGGTACATGACTGTAATTGTAATGAGGTCTGCCCCGAAGGGACAAGTAGCTGTTTTGAAGAACCGGCTCTCCTGTAATCAGCAAGTTCAGTCTTGATTGCTTAGAAACTTACTCAACACTATCACTGAGGTAAAGTTAAAAAAGAAATAAAAATAAATCACCCGAGTGAGCTTTTGATGTTCTCATGTATCAAACAAGCGGAACTGCTGATATAAAAGTGATAAAAACTTTAAAGTAAAATGTCTTGATGAAGGCAGAAACTCCTGGAGGTTTAATGTCGCTTGGTTCACAACATGCTCATTTGAAGTGCCAAGTTGACTTTAAAACACAAAAAGAAAACCACTGACTCACCAGCAAGCCCGAGGTGACGGAGATGATGTTGGTCACGGTGTATTCAGTAGAAATTTGCTGGCTGGGTTTGGAAATGTGGCGGAGAATGCTGCCATGGACAATGGCGCCAAAGATGAAGTTTATATGGCCGATGATTATAAGGGCCAACCCCTTCCTCATCAGCCTCCTTGGCCCTTTGTCCTTATCTGAAAGTAAAACTTTCGATTACTAACTGGCACGTACAGAAACGTAACAGTGGGTGGTTTGATTGTTAATATAACTTATGGGAGATGAATCTACCTATTCCATACAAAAACAATAGACTTGTTATATCACATAGAAATGCTGTCCAGTCTTGGTTTTGCTAAAATTACAACCATCTCTAGAATGAAACCTACTGTGACACTCAGGCCTGGAGAAAGGCTTCCATCCTGGCTTCCTATACGTTTTAGAATTGATCTTTACAGTTATTTTAAAGCTTGCCTCAGTTTGGCCCCGGGTTACTTCCGCTGACCCCAGATTAGCATACTTGCAGATGACACTTTTGTCATCAGGGCCTCTTGTCTTTAGCCTACCTGAGGATATCAGGCTTGCAGAGTCAGTGACTTCCTTTAAATTGCTTCTTAAAACTCATTCTAACAGACTTAATTTTACATGATTCTATTACATGTGAACTATTTTATTTTCTAGCTAGCAAATTCATTACTTCATGTATATATTCCTTTTGTTGTATGCGTGGCATTCAGATTAAACCTACCCTTTGAGTATTACTCGTCCACAGTTATGTCAGAGAACCTGCTTTTAACTGTAGTATATAAATTATTTACATTTTTTACAGCTTCACAATTAAAAAAATATTTATAAATAAATGACTTGGATAATATGCATACAAAGCCGATAAATCAGTTAGTTAATCAACCTGTCAGCTCTCTCTGGTGGACAAACTAAGTACTTTAATGTTTAATGTTAATGCGGTTTCTTTTGACAAAACAATCTGAGCTAAAACAGCTAACACTGGTGTGGCTGTGCAGCTCTTTGTGTCTCTCTTCACAATGTAATGTCTGTAAAGTCTCACCCATTTTTTTTAACCCTTTTATCGACCCATTTACCTCTTCGTGTGTTTTATACACATGTGGTGAAAACTGCCCCCCTAAAACATTTATTATTATTATTATTATTATTATTATTATTATTATTATTATTATACATTCTGTACGTCATAACAAGTAACGGCAAACAAGAACTGTGAGCGACCACTGGGCCAGAGATTGGAGTTAGCGCGGACAAACGACGTGCTTCCTTTTACTCGATTCTCGATTACTTATTCGAGTTGCCATCACTTCTCTGATTGTTTAAAAAGCCAATTTCCACTATTAATAAGTTAACATAAAGCAATAGAGAAACTGGTGGCTAATATATAGATTAGGCAAACTTTTACAAATGAATCCACACAGCAGCTGTAGGCCTGGTGGTCAGGTATATACCCGCAGGTAAGATGGAAAATAACATCGGGAGGAAGTCGTTACTATGCAGTCTACGGTGGTTTTTACAGCACCTGAATACAATCGCAGGCAAACTCACCAAAAGTGCACATCTCTCAGCAGGGAACGACGTTTTTCTGTGAATAACGTCCAGAGTTTTCGGGCTACAGTTCAACAGCACGATAGCAGAAACTCCAAACCACACGTATGCCCCTATAGTACTTCCTGTATGACGTCACCGATCTCACCTGTGTACAATCTGCACCTCTGTGGACGCGGAAGGGCGCAGCAGTCATTTCAGACTATTCATTGCATCTTTGTTGTGTGTAATTCTCACTAATGATGTATCCGGCACAAAACTGTGAAACTCTGATTCGTAAACGACTCCAAAAACACAAAGTCATGATGCAGTTCACACATTTATTCGTAAGAACCAGTATTCTTTGAAATACAAAATGTAGGAATTTCAAAATATAACCAAAAGCTGGTATCATGGAGTAACTGGCTAAAGCTGCACACCCTGTACAATAACTTATTAACCAGTTTCATCACAAACTGGCTGGAAAGGTACAAAAGTAAGAGAGAACAGAGGTGCAGGGGAGAGAGAGTCAGTATAAAACTCAGGTGCATCACATTGGTTGTTTTTTTTTTAAAACCACTTCTACATGTGTTGCATTTACATTCTCCTGGCTGGCATGAGAACAACTCTTTGGAAAATACAACCTTGCCAGTTCACAAACACACATGTAGACAGTGGAAAATAATGGAATAGGACAGAACACTTATGTACAAAAGAAGGTGGGAGAAAAATAGTGACCTGAACTTGGTGAAAAAGACCACTGAAATCACTGGATTATCATCTCAACAGAGAGGTGTACAGCTTAAATATTATAGCTCAATAACCAGCATTGGATTAAATATCAGTCTGAAAGCGCAAACAACTTTTCATCGGATTGCTAGACTAGTTACAATACACTTAGAAGTATATTTTTAATAAAATACCAGCACAGCAGAAGTTATCGTACGCAACAGTTGTTTTTCTAGCAATTTTACTACCTGTTTAAGTTCCTAAATTGTTTGAGCTTTCAGACAGCAGTACCAGTAGTTCAAAAAGAGTTTTGTGCCACAATGTCACAAAAAGGCCACAATTAACTCCCTGGTCACAACACAGGTCTAAACAAGACCTGTATGATGTAAAAGGTGTTTACACAAGTGTCTGTGCTCAATGCAACAGGTCCGAGTTTTAGCAAAAATCACTGTTTAGCAAAGAAAACAACGGAAACACAACCGGTTGTGTATTGGCTGAGACTATCAGCGTGGTGTCTGTGCTGTTGCTGTAAACAAATAAAGAAAAACACATGCTATTTCGGATTAACATGTATAAAACACACAAAGAAAAGCCTGGGTCATCTCTCTACAAGATATGGCAGATGAGTTTAGTACACAAGTCTCTCTGAACGACTTAAGGGAAGAGTACCGTGTGCGAACCCAACAAGCAGCAAATGGTAAAACCAAACAACATAAAAACAATATGAAAGAAGGAATTACAGGCAAGAGCGCCTACAGTAAAGCAAACCCATAAAAAAATAAAAGAGAAATTCAGTAACACTGAGTTCACAGTATCTTAAAGTAACCAAGAGATCATCTTTCAGAGAAAGAGGGTAAGATGGCTTCTCAAAATGTGAAATGCACACACATTTTGTTGTGTACCAAAGGCCTTTTAAATTACATAGATTTTTTTTAAACTATCAAGTGAAATAAAGCAAGTGTCTGTTACCCAGTTTCAAACTATTCCACATATTTAACGCAACAGGCACTTGGTTGGTCTAACAAACACTGAAATTCAAAGAGGTGGGAATGCTCTATCACGTAACGAGGGGCCAAACGAGAAGAAACTGATGTAAGTTGTTTTCTAGATTTCCTTGGTGTGGAAAAGCATCCCTCCACCTCCCTCCAAGTCACAATTTTGCTGACTGTCAACAGGTGTTAGATTCTACTGTAAAACAGGAGCAAGAAAACCGTGTGACTCTTAAAGGCCAGAATGAGGTCTGATGAAGTTTTACACCATCTCCTCCCAGAACACAAACAGGTCAGGCAAATCATTATGTAAACACCCTGCCGTGAAATACAACTGTGAGGAAAGTGTAGCTTTCAATATAAAACTGCAACTAAGTGTGATAAACTTGATCAATGTTCCAGCACTGATTACGTTTGGCTTGCAATTCGACATACCTAACTTAATAGCCAAATCATTCAAAAGGATCTGGCATGAACATATTGTAGGCGTGTATGTATTTGACTTTTAAAATAAAAACTTCAAATTACTACTGGAGGTTTGCGTGGAGTCATCTGGCTTTACTTTTAATATTTGGGAGCTTTTAGGAAATGTTATTCCCTGAAGTAAGAAAGCGCTTCTCCTTTGGTCACATCATCGCTTAAGGCTTCGTTAAAAAAATAAAATAAAAATGAAACAAGCAAACCAGGTAGTCACTGTGTTGAGTAACAAAAAAGAACATGTAACAAGGCTGAGAGCGATGGTCTGGTAAGCCATTGCTAGTGAGGAACTTGGTTGAATGATTCTTCTAGTTGAATGGCTACTGTGTTTTGGTCCACCTGCAGAGAACATAAAGACAATGACAACAACCCAGGATGTTATAATCACACATACATACATACAAATAAATAAATATATAACAGAAACTGTGTCAGGAAGTAAGAAATGTTGTCAAAAAAGTAAAAAAAAATGTCTCCGTGTGGGAGAGTATATTAATAATGATCAGCTGCCACTTTCAAACACTGGAAATAACACACACACACACACACACACACACACACACACACACACACACACACACACACACACACACAATGATTTTTTTTAAACACAGGAAAAAAAACCCACCTCACTGATTAAGCCCAGTTGCACCAACTCTACGGACAAGTCTTGAAAGTTCTCATCTGAAACACATACCAATGTAGTTTGTAACAGTAATTCACAGTCACAACTTCAGCACACACACCCATGAAGCTAAAGCTAATAAAAGTGTTAAGTACCCCCACACACACACCACATAAGATGAATTAAAAAAACAACAACTACTCTGGTTGCTCTTTGCACCACTAAAACATTTTTTGTGGTATGGCTGTGCAAATTTTAAATGTTATAAGGCAACAAGCATCTAGTATTGAGGGGGCCGGAAGAGATTTATCAAATTAGAAGAAAAGGACAAAAGTGGTTCTGCCAGGTCAAAAACTGTTAAACCAAATTTGTCTCTTTTTGAAGTCTTAGTATCTCCCAACTCTTCTTTCTACAGCCATAAAAAACAAAAACAAATCTAATCTAGTTTTATCTAGTTTGTCAACATCTACTCCCGTTCTTTCTTTTTCACAGCAATATGCGACTATACACACACTGTTTACCTAAAAACTGGCAGAAAATGTCAGATAAAGGTGCTTACATAATTGCTAGGTTGCTCAGAATACATTAAGACATTGGTAAAATGTTCAGAACAAAGTATTATCACAAATTTTGTTGCCTACTTCCTTCCAAGACCACCTGTTTGGTTATAACCTAATGTTTTGAAACTTTTTCCATTATCGCTATAGTGGCTGCACTACTCTGTGCTTTGTGTGGTTTGTCATGGTCTGTCAATTTTTAATAACACAGCTGTCAATTTATAACTATACCAGGAATGTGGCTGGGACAACACAAGCTGCAGGAGGAGATAGAGGATCCAATAACTTTGACATTAACAAACACACCCGTGGGCCCCAGCTACATGAAGAGGGGCTTGATATTCAAGTTCAGGGTGAGGCTTCCTCACTTGTTTGCTCCTTGTGGTCTGGTATTAAGTCATTTAACAAAATTAGCACCCATTTACCTTTAATGTAAACATGCTTTACTTGTATATATGTTGTAGCAGGATTTAACCATGCAAAATGCAAGGTGGTGAAATCTGAGTGGCTCAATGTGAGTTAGAGCTTGCAAGAACAAGGCATGATTAGTAAGTACGGGTGCGCGTGGAGGTAAAGTTTCATCAAGTATTTCAGTGGCATTTGGGTGCAAGTGTCCAAAAGAAGACATATGGTGTGAGAAACAGAAAATGCTAAAGAGATAGAGTAAAGTGAATGCATGCGAGTATGTGACAAACTGAGTCTGTGACAAACTGACTCTGTAAATGAGAGACAGGGGGATGAAAGCCCGGGAAGAAATGAGCAGATCTTGACACAGGAGGTGACAGCTGTCAGCTGCAGCCTTTCACAGGCCTGACATTCTCCACACGCCTGCAACATTACACATGCCTACCATACCTGTTTGTGCATGTGCATTAGATCAGATCACACTGCCAGTTGTATGTTATATTCTCATTTGCCTCCCTTCAAGCTTCTACTTGTCTTTCAAAAACTAGCAAAATTAAAAAAACAAAAACAAAACCCTTTTCTTTTTCCATAATGAAGACTGATCAGATTTCAGCATTTGTAAAGCCAGTAAGGCAACCATCTAATAAAAGCACGTCAAATAAAATTTTAAAATAAGCACAAGATTTTCATGACACACAAGCGACAGCTAGTCTTCCAGCCTAAAATAGTCATGCACACTGTATACATTGTGACGCCATTCAAGCTCTCTCTGGAACTTTACTCTCACTTTCCTACATGCCTCAGTACAAACACGTGGAGACAGATACTTCATGTTAAAAGTAATAAAAATCACACTCAGATATTTACAACCTCATCAACCTTGTTTACCAATACATGCAAATGAAATTCTATCATTAACCCTAAATGCAAACCTATCGACAAAATACTTATTCTTTATAAAAACCTCACTCTGAAGTCTGACATGTTTACAACCTCTACCAGAGGCCATTAAGGTTTAGCTGATGGAAATTTTAAATATTGGGTTTTTTTGTGTGTTTATAAAGCAAGTCTTCCAAATTTTCTATACTTGACCGACAACAGCGTTTAGCTTTTTCAAGCTCACTACACATGTGTCACCGTGTCATATGAACTGATAATAAGATATGAAATATGTTGATCTTACGAGGTAACATGTCACAGCTTAGATGTCTATTCAGTTTATCCTCCATTTTCAGCAGTAATGTAAGCTAAAAGGACAGAAACAGATTGAGAAAAGGTTATTTTCATTTCAAGTCGTTGCAGCAGGGCTGTTGTATTTTGAATTATTTTAAAAATAAAAAGAGAAAACTGCTAATGTTATAACTCTTACATGATACTTTGCTCCCTCTTCGACAGGCTCAAAGCTGCACTGCATCTGAATAATCTGCAGAAAAAGAAGAGCAGTCACAATAGAACTTTATATGATGCGCTGTGTCTTCATTCAGTGGCCAGTTCAATGTCCATTATGCCGGTATACACCTTCCGTGTCTCAAGCTCTGAAGGTTCAGG